AAAATAGACTAAAATCAACAATTTAGGTAAAAACAAGCAAAAATCAACAATTAGGCAAGCATAAGGCAAAAATTGGCAATTTAAACAATAAATCAACAAAAATCAACACTTTAGACGCACATAGGCAAAAATCGATAATTTAGGCAAAAATGGGTAAAAATTGACAAGTTGGGAAAAAAATAGGTACAAATCAACAATTTTGGCAATCATAGGCAAAAATCGAAAATTTAGGTAAAAATAAGTAAAAATCGATAATTTAGCCAATCGTGGACAAAAATCGACATCTTAGGCAAATATAGGCAAAAATTCATAAACTTAAGCAAATATAGGCAAAAATCGATGAAAGTTGGCAATTGAACTAAAATCGACAAAACAAACAAAAATAAAAAAAATTAGTTATCTTGACGTACACAATTGATTATGTTTTCATGGCAAAAGTCCAAACTTGTTTGATTCAATGTTATGCTTTTTTTAATAAAATTACCACACAAGATGAATTTTAAAAATATATATTCCAAATAATAGCAAGTATCCAAACGTTCAAACTAAAACATCATTCACCAAATCACAAACGCAACCACAACATGCATCACCTCAATTCAAACAAACCACACATAAACAACAGATTTAATTAATTACATAACATAATCAATTAATGGTTACATGAACATATTGATAGGAATCATATATAATACATGTTGAAACAAAAATAAAATGAAATAAAATGAAAAGTGAAAAAAAGATTAGTGTAAAAAAAAAAAAACAAATGAGGCGGATTGGTCGGTTGAATTCGGAATTGCTCAAACTCTTTTCAACCCCAATGAAGATTGATATTTAGTTAACCGAAGAGGAAAGACGATTGGGAGTGACGGCCGTCGGATCCGGAACATTTGGCTCGGTGGCTACCGAAGGCATTATGATGGGTGTGGCAAGCTGTTGGTTGTGCACATCTAGCTGGATTGAAGGGTGCGCACAAGGTGGGGCTAGCTCGTTATGTGTGGTCAGGCGAAGCGAGCACGCGGGTCGGGTGAAGTAGGGGCGATAGACCTCTCTTTTACTCCATTTTCTTTTTCTTTTTTTTTTTTTTAATTTGTCTCTCTTCTTTCTCTTTTTTTTTTTTTTGGAAAAAATTAGGTGCTAACAAAGTTATTGAATCAACTAATCATACATACATGAATTAAAACATGAGTAAATGATTACCTCTTGTAGTGTAGATTTAACCTTTGCGAAAAAGAGTCATCCAAGTGTCTAGTCTTTTATTGATAACCCATGTAGTTCAAGCACCCATATAAGAAGCACACAAAAGTTGTAGAGTGCTAGCTCTACCTTTTTCCGACTCGTTTAATTTTTTCTCATTAGAAATCTATTTCGAGATATTTTGTAACAAGCCTAAAAAAGAGGGAGAGAGTTGGTGTGTTTTTAGGAAGAGAAACTATTTTCTCTCTTTTATTATTATGTTGTGTATGCCCTATGCATTAGCCTCTCTTTGCTGCACCTCCTCCTTCTATTTATCGGGAGAGTGGCTTCCTTGTCCTCCAAGGATAAGGAAGCGATGGCAACAAGTTCGAAAGGACTTTAGATTATTTGCTTCATAGTCCTCCAACAAGTATGAGTTGCAATGCACGTGGGCTTTTTGATCTTATCTTTATAAACCTTGATCCTTATCCAATAAACATCAAGTTTATTCTTTTATCAAAATATCTTATAAGCTTTTAAATTAAACCTATTGACCCAAACTATTTTGGTCTAATTAATTATCAATTAATTTGGATTATCCAAATAAATTAGGTTAGATACTTTAGTAAGCCCAAATTAGGAAACAATTTCCTAAATTAGCTTTAAACCTAAATTAGGAAACTAAATTCCTTTTTAGGTAACTTATTTTCAAATTTAAAACTGACTTTCAAATTAGAAAACTGATTTCTAAATTAGAAAAATTTTTATTTTAGGAATTGTTTTTTCAAAACAAGAAAATTTGCTTGTTTAGAAATTTTTTTCAAAATACGAAACTTTTAAACTTGAAAACCTTTTGCAAAATCTTTGCTTTTCTTTTATTATATGACTCAATAAGCTCTTAAATATGTTGACAATGTTTTAAAAATAAAAGATAACTCTTTTATCTCTTGATATATAAATCAAGATTAGTCTCTAGTAAGGTATCATGACTATCCAATTCTCTAGAAGGATTAATTAATCCGTAATTATCTTTCACAAACATGGTTACCATACAATTCAATCCTCATGTTAATTTATTATAGTGTGATCTCGAACTTGGTCTTTAGTCCGGTCGATAATGATCACACAAAGTTTCTTCTATTCTCAAATGTCTTAGCTCTTAGAGTAAATCGGCTTTGCTCTATTGGTGTACTCCCATTATGGCCATAAATTCCTTGAGCAAACATTGATCAAAGTGCGGCTTGATAACTTCGTTAGCATACAAAGAATGTCATGTCCTACCTTAGTCATCTACCTAACTCCATTAGATTCTTAGTACACCCAACGAATCGTCCACGTGTAACTATTTACCGAGTCCATCAAAACGAGTGTCAAAGTATATAAATCCTCTAATGAGATAACCATGATGACTTCAAGTCAAAAGACAATTGTACCCATCTCGTATGAGATTTTCATAGACTAAACCAAATAAGTTTACATGGTGAGTCAAGTCCAGGTGATATGTTTTTTAATATTAATCACCTAAGTACTTGCTTTGGCATAACCATACTAATAGGTGTGAGATCTCTTACCGCTATCTTATAACATGAAATAGTATTCACAAGTTTTACCGCATATAATCAATGTATATTCTTGAAAATGCTACGACTTGAGACATTTAATGATATCATTGAAGTGTATTAATGATAATGTCTCATATTTTTTGATGAATCATTAATGCAATACATATCATATGGACTTCTATATAATTTTATCAATAAATATAAATAACAAGAATTAATAAAAGACTTCTTTTATTAATAAAATAAAAATACAATATTACAATAAGTCAAATCATCCAATAAGGTTGGATCTTGAGCACCTATACTAACAATATCTCATAATAGATTACTATTGAAGCCTACTTATTGGTGCTTAAAAGTTATCGCCTACCGACTACTAGCTAACAAGTTTCAAGTATAAAACTTGTAAAAGTGCTCCTTGAATTGTTTGCAATTTTCAAGAGTTTTCTTGAGTGTTGTATTATTATGTGTTTTTTCTTGGTTGTAGTCGGTATTTATAAGTGTTTTTCTCCTTCATAACCTTCAATAATGGGCCACTTTTCCTCATGGATGTTGTAGTGCTTTTTTTTTTTTTTTCTTGCATGCTGCTATATGATACATATATATATATTACATTGCGGTGTCCTACTATGTTATACTTCTGCTATAATTTTAGACATGTTACTATTTCATATTCTTAGGTGACTATGAGCACTTAAATACTAAATAAACAAATTAATTAAAGCATGAATATTAAAATATAAGAATTTATCGGTTAGACACTAAAACAGAAAGAAATTCAAAAGTTAGGCACTAACAATTTTAAATGTCTCGTGACGAGTTCATTTTAAACATATCGGCATTTCAAATAAATAAATAAGACTTGTACATTAAATATAAGAGATTACCGATTGTTCATTGAAAGGGAGAAAAAAATTCAAAAGTGTTTTTTATATACACATATTTATTTATTGGCTAATTGCTTTGATATTCTTGAAATATAATAATAATAATAATAATAATAACTTTGTTGTTTGTGTAACTTAAAAATGAACAAGCTATTTACACATATCATGAAAATTTAAACATTTAAATAGGAAATATGATCATAATCTTGTCTATTGAACAAGAAGTCAGTCTCATAATTAATTATTACTATATAATATTCCAATATAAATGCCTAATTTTCTAACACATGACATAAAAAAAAACTTTAAAAAAAAAAGAAAAAAAAACTTAAAAAAAAGAAAAGAAAAGAACTATGCCGTTAAAATTGTAAAACAATTATCGCAGTACCAAACTAGTGATTTTGCTGTTGAGCTCCACATGATGGCTCGATCATTCTCATTACATGGGTCGAATATGTATTTTAAATTTTAAGGTAATGATTCATCTTAATAAATAATAACTATCATACAATATGTTTTATCAATCAAATTATTTTTTATTTTGGGAAAAAAAATCACGTCTATAGTTTTTTTTCCAAAAAATATAACATCAAATGTCATTTTCTTCATTAACAAATAAAAGAAAAATATAAATATTGGTGATTGAAATGGTGATAAAATAGAATTAAATAATTGTTTTTGTAGTGATTTATCAAAGTTTATTATAACTTTTTTTTATTGGCCATTAATACCTAAATGAAAAAAAAAAACATAATGTGTAATTGAAAAATGGAGATTTAAAAAAAAAATTATTAGCAATAGTCGAATTAAAATAAAACATGAAAAATCATAACTTCTGGTTAAAAAGGACAATAAGAGGAAAAAAAAAAAAAAACCGAATTCCTTCACAATGTAGATTTCTTTACGTTAAAATTACGTACCATACTTCAATATCTTTTTGGGGAAACCACACCAGAGAATAGAAAGGTTTTTTTTTGTCGACCAGTACGTATACTGTTAAGCATGCAAATCACCTGAATATAGTCAAAGCATTAGACCAAAAATAAATTGGGGCGGTCGCAGCTGGCTGATGTGCTGCGTCTAACAAACATGATTTATGTCTCTCCATTGCCAGTACATCGCTCCTAGTCCGTGACTCTTTTGGCCATAAGTTTCAGCACTAGCTTCCGAAAATTAATAGGAATGTGATCTTATAATTAAAACAAATGAATTGCCGAAACAATGACAATTTTCTATTCTTTGATTTAAATGACTTTGCAACAGAACCTTCAGTAATAATTTTTTTTTTAATTTTTTTCTAAAAAAATAAGTCCTCTCTAATGGTCTTATAATTGAAACTCCAAATTATTAATAACAATACATAATCTACACATAATTAACTTAGAAGAGTGGTAATCGAGAGAAATATACTACACAGCTTGCTGAAAGACTCATTTCGATCTGTCAACAGAGAAGCTTTGTTCATCTCCTTAAAACCCTGCTCGCAAGTATCCGAATCCGTCATTGCTGTGCTGACCAATGTATTCATGTCATCAAAGGATCTAACCTTTAGTGCATGAATTGCCTCTTTAAGATTTTCAGTGGCTTCGGTGTATTCTTCTATGCATTCACTTAAGATCACAGGGAGTTGGGTGTCATTATTAGCATAAGACTTCAGGTCACTAACCTGGGCTAGAGTTTCACTTCCATGGGCTATGCTGATGTTTAGTGCAATATTGGCAAGTCCGAGGAGATCTGATTTTTGGCTCCGAGGATCAGATCTTAAGGCAGATACACACATTTCGAAGTGAAGGGTGTGATTGCATGTAGTAGAGATCAAGTCTTGGACTCCATCTTTTGTGGCAAATTGCAATCTTATAGAAGTTACTGAGAAGGCAGAAGAAATCATCAAGAAGAAAAGAGCCAACATTGTGAGGAAGATTTTAGATGAAGCCATTGCTTTGTCTTTGAGTCTTTGTGACTGTGTGCGCTCTTTGTAAAGGAGTTCGAAACAAGACAGTTTATAAGTGGTTCAAAAAGAAGGGAACTGCTTATGGTAGGCACATTCGATTCATGCAATATAATTATATGATCTCGGGATCTAAAAGCGAGATCATCTGGGCCTTTTCTTTTGTCTCATTTTAATGCAATTTTGTATTTTTTGTTTATTTGTTTGTTTTTTTGTATTGAAGTTAAAATTTGTGTGTTATTATTATCATTTTTTTATATGAAACTAAAGGTATGTTTGAATTAGCTTTTATTTATTAAAGATCAAGTATTTTTCAGTCGGATTTTAAGTACTCTGTTTATATTTGAATTTATATATTCATGAATAATTATTATCTTACCACTTTTCTAAAATTCGAACTTCAATAATAATACTTTTCTTAAAACAGTTACTTTTTTAATGACACATAAACTGATTTGAAATACTTTTATTATCCAATAAAAAATATAATAACATGTAAGAACAGATCTCCTTCCTAACTAAGCCGTCTATTTCTAGCGGTCATTTCTTCGTTGCCTTAATATAATGAGAAAAATATTCTAAGAGCTGCTAATTCTACATAAGTACAGTTAGTTAAAAACACGTACCAATCATTAAAAAAAAATGATCTGGCAAACATAAAAAAAAGTGTATCTTGTTAAACCTTTGGTTACGGCCTGCAGACAAATTATCCTAAAGTACAAAACAGTAATAACTCATAAAAATTGGATTGGCCAGGCACTACACCAAGAAAGGATACTAAAGATAGTTTTTTTTAATCTTTTAGAGGCGCTTCTACGTATCATAAGGGCGGTTTTTCAGACCGTCCTAGAACAGATCTATAATGTCGCCGTCTATACGGTGTAGAAGGTTTTGTCAATTGTCGAAGAATTCTGAAACGGTTGGTTACCACCTCAAATTTTTTTTTAGCCTATTCTGACCACCTCTACGATGCTAATTTTATCATCCGTGGTTTTTTGGTGTGTAATTGTTGTAGCGGTTTAGAAACACCTCTACATTGCTGGATTTTTTATAAAAATTTTGCACGAAATATTTGAGGCGAGTTGCAACTACCTCAAGGTTAAAATTTGTAGGAACCACCCCAAATTATAGAATTTATAGAGGCGGTTTTAGAATTCATAGAAGCAAATTTTATAATTCATAAAGATGATCGTTTAACTTTCGCCTTCAAATTCAATTGTTGAATGTAAAAAAAATTAAAATTATATAGCTAACACGGTATTTTTCAATTTATAATTATCAAATTCTAAATGCATAATAAGTCGTCAAAAATTCACGAGTAAAAACAAAAAAACTAAATAAAAAGTTGTTAAACATTCGCAATATTCTTAAAAACTTATTCAAAATATATAAACAAAATTCGAAGTATATTTGAAAATAAGTGGCTAAAGCACAATTTGAAAGTAATATATATATATATATATATATATATATATATATATATATAAACTCATTAAAAATATTTTAAGATAAAAAATATTAAATATTTAATTAAAAGTTTATGATACACGAGTAGGATTCAACGAAGTAGGCATCAAATTCTAATCGGGATATCTCTTTGCAATGAAAGTAGTAACAACAATTAAGTCACATTTATTGCATTATATCTAGATTCCATTGCATTATACTTGGTTTGCATATTATGCAACTACTCTTTCATTTCTTCTACTTCACTTGATTGATTTGTAGATGCACCATCTTGACCACTTCCAAATTGAGATTGTAAATCAAAGAAAAATGTTGGTGTTGGACCCAAGCCTAATCCTCTAACTCTACCATTGTGTTCTTTACCCATAACTTCTTGAAAAATCTCTTCATTTATATCATTAACACTCGGTGGTTGAGGAACCTTCATAACATTCGGCTTGGAGCGAATGAGCCTTTTCCTTATACATTTGAGGTAGGAACATAAGAAAATGAGCTAATGTTACTAAAAGAAGAACTCTCTCCATGAAAAACCCATCGAGTATACCCCCTTAAAAACCCATCACAAATTAAGTGAACTCTAGCATCTTCATATGTTTGTAAAGAAGAATTACCACATCGAATGCAAGGATCAAAAATTCTTTCACCATAAGATGTATTACGAAATGGTAATTCAAGAAATTCCTCAACTCCTTTTTTATATTCGGTAGTAGTTCTAGTCTTGTTCATCTAACTTCTATCAATTTCATAAATATTATAGAATCCATAAAAGAATGCTATAATTTTTTTTAATAAAAAAAAAAAGCACAAACCTAATTATATCATAAAGCATTTATCAATACATTTAGCACTTAACACTTTTGTAGTCTCAAATATCAACAACCATTTGATTGCAAACAATCCTAGCTCCTTTCAAGCACAAATACAAGTTAGATGTAATAAGCTTATTGTCTTACTTGTGCTAAGAAATTTACCTTGAAGTAGTCCCCTAAATTAGCCAATTAACAAATATGCTTCAATCAACTCGGTTGTTCCATCGTAGAAAATACTAAAAAAAAATTATTTTATTAGTTAGAACAAAAAAATAAACTTATCTACTACATAATAAAAAAAGAAGGAAAGATGTAATTGTACTCACTATACGAGCCTTTAAAAGTTAATTTTCTCTAATGTTTTCGCTATTCTCTAAACTAAATTCCAATGTACAAAAAAAAAAATTGAAATTATAAATAACGAGCTAACTATAGAATACCGAAGGAAGAAACAAATATAAACCCAACATGTGATGGGAGGGGACAAATTTGACCAACACTTAACACTTTAACCTACCTATGAACTATAGTAGCATCAAAGATTATCCTAAAGTACTTGTGCCTAGGATCAAGAGTTTCGGTTCAAAGAGGGAATTGTGCCGAAGCACTTGGACAATTTACATGTATTTTAGGCATATGAGTAATATAGTCACTTGGATCCATCCATACCTTAATGTTCCCATTATCACAAAAAAAAAAAAAAAAAGATCCCCACTATACGGTATTCTCCAATATTTATATTAGCTCTATTTTGTATCATGGAGCTATGTAAAATTGAATGAAAAAAGATCTTTTAATAGTTCTATAATATAAGACCACTCGCGTCTTATAAACCTTGCAATACTCTTTAGCAATTTGACAAAACCACATCCCCTGTTCGACATAGAGCTGGCATGCTCTCAAACAACAAACCAATGCATAAACAATAATAATAACAATAATTAAATGAATTCAAAACATACCCATTTGCATACAATGCTTAGTTAATAAGCAAAATCAATTTTTGTAGAGTTTTGCATATAATGCTTAGTTAACCACATCCCCCTATGCTTGTCATGTGATGGGAGGGGACAAATTGGACCAGCACTTAATACTTTAACCCACCTAAACTCTTGATGGAATGACAAGGGAAGATATTAGAAACAAAAGGAATTTGAAATTCCTTCTCTGTTTCCTAAAGTACTTGTAATTTCTTTTATTCAAACATAATTGTTAAGTCCGAAGAAAAGAAAAGATCATAATAGGGGTAAACAAGCAAGGTCTAAAATCAATTGTGCGTGACTTCTACTTAAGTAATGATTATACATAGGCACGGGACGAACTCTATCATATATTAAGTTTCAATCACGACAATGCACTGCGTTTACATTTAAATGTTAAATTTCAAGCTTCAAGTCTTGCTTCATTTGGTTCAACAATCTCTATTTCGGCTTGTGTTTACATTTAGTAAACAACGGAGGGAAGATATATAATGTTACACTGCTAATACATTCAATCATGATAGAGCAATTCCATCTTCCTTGGGCCGGATCGTCCACTTATTTTTGAAAGCAAATTTATATCCCTAAACTGGTCCATTTGGTTCTATTCATAATCCCCTAATCTTCGGGCTCGGTACAAAATTGCACAATATGATATCCACATAATAACTCTACATCCCTCAAAGTGCTACTCCTAAATTAAACCTTGAACTAGTATAAGCTTATATACTACAAAAGTATAATGAAAAACAAGAAGAGACATTGGTAGAACCAAAGCACATTATATATTATATATCGAACTCACTTCATCATCCACCTAAACCATGCTTTACAAGTAACATACTATACCAATATCAAATGAAATTGCTAATCGGAACAAGCAATTTCATGGCACAAGATCATTAATATTGTCTTTGAAGTATAAAATCTAGGGCATAATTGAAGTACTTAAGCATGACACAACAATTCGGATAAGAATTGAAAACTTCTTCTTTCAAGCAAGTTTCTTAATAGGAAAGTCACATTACATTAGGATTTTCATAGGATACGAGAGGTGCTTTTAGGACTCAAAGTAACGATCCTTCTCTAGTTTGGGAATTCTTTTGAAGACAATCGCTCTTGCTTCCCCGGTGCTTTAGCTTTAAATCACAAAATAAGAACAAGACGAGTAGCATATTAGATTGAAAATTTAAAGGGAATTAGAAAAGAAAAGAGTAGGTAATCTAATTGATTGGTCACAAAATTAATTTAGCATACTTACCATTAGATATATCAATGAAAAAATCAACAATGAGTGCCCAATTGATTTAGAGGATAGCTATAATTTCATTTCTAACAAGAAGGAGAGAAGGACGAAGCGAGAGGAGAAGAACAAACAAGCAAAGGAGAAGAAGCACGAAGTAGAGGAGAAGAATGAAGAAGTAGAGGAGAAGAAAAACCTTAAGAGGGGAGAGATAATGTAGCATTCTTATCCCTTTCAAAAAAAAAATAATAAGAAAGAAGAAGTAGATCGGAAGATGGAAGAAGCACTTGAGGAGAAGAACCTAAGGTGAAGAAGGAAAGCTCTTGATAGGATCTCCCCCTTTCGAACATAAAAAAAAAATTAAAAACAAAGAAGGCAAAGAGAAAAAAGACGCGATAAATCAAGGAGAATAAGCAAATTAAGAAAGAGAAGCTCGAAAACCCTAAAGAGAGAGAAGATGAAATGAATTTTTTTGTTTCGGAACCAAAT